ATGATTGTTTTTATGTACCTTTCTTACTTCTCACTTTCAGTTCTCTAAATTGGTAATGAATTATCCAGAATAAAATGCTGGTGTCACTCATGTGGAATGTGTCTGAATATGGCCAAAACAGAATCTTGGGAACTGCAACTATTAAAAATGTGAGAGGGAGTTTTTATATATTGTAAATGTGCGGGAATTTTTTTTTTACCTAACTTGAATACTATTCTGCAATATTGACTGCATGATAAAATTGGTAATCAGCCTTGGATCATTTTGGCTTATTAGAATTTTATGATAATTGCTTTCCATTGAATGACCTCATTTTTAACAGAAACAATATTTAACTAGTTTAAGTATCTCTTTAATTTTAGTGGCATATTTTTTTGGGAGTATAACGTAAGTTTCTAAATTCTTCATTGGAAATAAAATCAGTAGTCTCTTAATTATTTTAGTATAGTTAATTGATATTTCTGCAAGATGCTGTATTTCGACTGTAAAGTAACATAGCTGATAGCAGAGTCTTTATGTTGTGCACTGAATTGTATGGATAATACAATTGCATAGAATATAGTACAATATGAATAGAATCTCTTATGGAAATACCAACAAGAAGTGGGCTACGCATCTTTTTAAAGGATTATGAGGTAAGAAAGCATCGACCACCTTACAAACTTATATTAGCTTTTTAGAAATCCCTGATATGAAATAAAAATCCTATATATTTGCCTTATTTCAGCAATTTCTTACCTTCTAAATGTGCAGAAAGAAAATATGTTCTCAATAAATGTATTTTATGGATTATTTTGCATAATAGCTATAAATAAATATAAATGATTTATCCAGTCTACTTTCACCTAATACCCTGTTTCCCTGAAAAAAAGACCCAACCAGAAAATAAGCCCTACCATGCTTTTTAGGATGCTCGTAATATAAGCCCTACCCCCAAAATGAGCCCTAGTTAAGATTGTCAGCCAGCCAGACACATTTATTATTGTTTTTCCCCCAAAATAAGGCCTAACTGGAAAATAAGCCCTAATGCAACTTTTGGAGGAAAAATTAATATATAGACCCAGTCTTATTTTGGGGAAGACACCCTTATGTTCAATTTTTCCTTGGAATGAGCTGATCTGAACATTCTAATCTTACATATCTGAACATGTGTCTTTCAAAACAGGAGGTGGTTTTGGAAATATCCCTACCAGTCCTGGGATGCTTGGATTAGTCCATTTGGGAGAATATTTTCAAAACAAAACCCATTGTTTTTGTGCATATCTGATGTACATTTTTATTACTTAAATTCAAGTCAAATTCTTATGCCACAGTTTTAGTTGCATTTTATAGAGAACTATCCTTCAAAAATATGAGGTTCTTTCACATGATACTGTCTTCAAGTCCTGGCTTATATTTCTGAAGTCCAGGGCAGGATCAACCATATATTTTCCAGTGTTATGCTTTTTTGCTAATCTCGTATTTTGTCAATATTTGATAAAGTCAAGAGTGGCACGGTAGCCTAGTAGTGAAGATGCTCACCTCCCACTTGGAAGGTTGAGAGTTAAGTGCTAAGTATTAGGAGGTGTTTCTCTTCTAGGACATAAAGAAAAATATCTGCTGCGAACTCTGTGACATCAGGAAGGGCATCCATCCAGTAAACGGTCAGCTCCATCCATTCACCCCAACTCTTCCTTAAATTAAGGCACTATAGGGTCATAAAAAGGGAGTTTTTAAATAGCTAAATGCACAAGTTTTTATACTATGTAGAAAAGAATTACTATGAAATATTTATTACAGTATTAGGTTCTGTCTCAGTAACATTACTGCATTTTTTTGTTTTAAGATGTGTACAGTCTTTGCATTGACAACTGCATTGATTGAAATCAGAAACTGAAAATGGAAGTGGACTGTTGAGGGCAAAATCTTGAGAGTACGCTGACATATTTAAAAGTGGGTTGAAAAGCACAAATATAAGTAATTTAAAGGCTATGAGATGTATTTTAAATCCTGTAATCAATGGATATTACAACCTTTTGTTCAATTAAGAATAACCTGATTAATGAGGGTTTTTTTTTTTAGATTATATAGCACAGTGCTTTTAAAGTAAGGCTTATTGAAATCCTTTCAATTTCAAAATGAGTTCTACAAAACTTTAAATCGTTGCTTGATGTATGTCCATTGAATATATGCTAGTGAGTTTCGTGTTATCTGCTTCTGTATTAATATTCTATCTCCTCATAATCATCTATTTAAATGGTCGGATAAATAGATCATCTTGAGACACCTTTGGAAAAGTCTTTGTGCATCTTCAATAGAGAAAGACTTTTGACTGTAGCTTTTCTACAATTGATAATCTGTTTTATTTATTTATTTTCATTTATCTTTAACCTTGAAATAATTACATGGAGCTACCAGCACAGATTGTTTTCCTTGTGTTATTACTCTGTCTCTGTGTTTGGTATTCAGTTGTACTGGTTTAGTTTCAAGGCCATTCACTCCCTAGAAGAAGGAAAAACAATAGTTTAGTTTGGCTCCAAAGTCTTTTAATCTCTTTCCCTCAGATTAGGGGCTGATTTTCTATATTTTCTGGCTATTTAAACTTTTGGTTGCTTTCTTCAGCACAAGACATACCTATATGGAAGATTTAGATCCTCCTTTCTGTAGCATATATAAGAAACAGGGATTTTGTCAGAATTTCCACCATTTAAACATCACAAGGTAATTATTCACATGCTACAGCCAAAGCATAAGAAATGAAAACGAACAGCTGAAGTACATAGAAGACCATTGACAAAGCTTACATTGGTATCATGTGGAAATATATGTAGAGACATATATGTTGATAAGCATTTATAAATTCTACAAATTTTGTAGGATCAAGTAGTAGGCTGAAATGGTCAAATTCTGGATTGTATTACTTATTACTGCCCAATATCTGTCTCCTCCTCCCAACTGGTGGTAAACTAGTCTGGTATTCAACAGTATTCTGCTATCATGTTTCTAGAATCTTTGTATCTACGTATGCAAAGCTGAGACTCAACATCTCTCTTACTTTTTATATAGCTGAAGAGAGAAGTAAAAATATTCTTTCATTTTTGCCAGTGTTCTTAGCTCTTCTATATTGCTCAGTTAAAACTATGACTTGTTTAAATTTGCTGATCATTAGTACCGAGGTATATTAATACTGGCTGCAATTTATTTTTTATCTAAATAAGAGATTTATATTTAGACCTCACATTCTGAGGTCAGGTGCAAAATTTTAATTTTAATTTGAATGAATTTCAAATTTTATTCAAATGTTAACAGATTTATTAACTCCACAAATGAAAAATCTAAAAAAAATATTCCTGACATAAACTCTTGCAAGAGTTTCTAGAGTAAGATTTTGAGTCCTTTAAAGACATTAATCATCTTTGGAACAACACCTCCTTCTTGAAGCACATAGGCAGCTCTAAACCGAAATACTCTGAATCATTCTCTGATTGTATCAGATTGGCAGTGTTGGTACCTTACTTCCTGTCAGAATCTTCCATACAGCAATACATTTGCTATAGCAGTCGAAATGTTTTTTTGATGAGTTGAAGCAGTGGGATAACATTGCCCTCTTTTATCCATTAAAGAAAAATAAATCAGGACACATTTATTAAAGCTGTATTTCATTATATGGCTGAGATTTTTTGGTCACTTTCTGATTGCCACAAAGTTTATAAATTTATTCTGTTGGAATCAGGAAAGAGTATACAAGCTGAGATTGAGGCCTGAGAACATATTCCTGGGACCATCTTTGTCAGAGGAACTAGAATAACTGTAATGGAGTTTGGCAACCTTTTGGTGGGCAAGAACTACACTCATCATGGATGGAGTCAAATGTATGAGTGGTGTAGAGATTTGGGGAAAAGATTGAAGTGGCCTTGATTCCCAAAACGCTTCTCCCATGTAATGTTATTTATATATCAACACATTTGGTAGACACTTAAACAGTGGCAAAACTAGTGAAAATGAGTTTGCCTTTTTATAAATCCATCAAAATTTCTAAAGATGAGAGACATAGATAATTAGGTGACCTGTTCTGTATAGTGACTAAGAATTCCTATCTTCAATTCTAGCTGGTTTGCTAATTTCAACTTTTCCTGTCGACAATATTGCTTGCCATAGCAACCATTCATCCAAATTACTGTGGTAAGCTTTTTGTGGAGATGTCCTGCCATTGTCCACTTAGCACACAGATGGAAGACTAATGCTATAGTACATCTATTTCTACAATGTGCCTTGGCTGCTTATTTGTTTTTATACTATTGACCTCATCTTTATTATCTTTTTCAGCTTATGCATGCTGTTCTTTCTCTGTTACAAAGTTTAAGGAGGCTTGTGGTACAAACTGGAATGTTGGAGTAATTTGAAATTTTATTGCAGAACTCTTCTACTATGGGTTCCCCATTAAAAATAATTATGGCAGACTGCTCCCATATAAGCTAAATTTTTCACATGTGCTAGTTTATCCAACTGGGGAATTTTAGGTCTTATGCAAAAGGTTCCTTCCTTTAATGCAGTCTTTAATTCCATTGCTTTTCGAATTACTGCTTTTGTATCTGTATTCTGTTGATATAAACTGGTATGCTATCATTAGATAAAAAGTGGTATAGAAAAATAGTGCTAGTAATTTAGGCACCAATGTTGTTCCTTTCTCATTTTCTATTATTTCTCATGGTTTAAAATAATGTATTATGTGTTTATTATTTTTAAACAATACAACACCGAAAAAGGCACTACACTTCATGTCTAATGTAAAGTTTTGATTTTTGACTTCTAATTTTAATTAGATTTAAATCTTAATATTCTGATGGCCATGTAACAGCTTTCTAATAATTTAGTATTTGGAATCTTTCCAGTGCTTGCACCCTACTGGTGTAATTTTGACTTTAAGTTAGAAAATTGACCATTGTTCTGCCAGCCTTTTCTAGTTAATTGTTTCAGGTGGATTCTCTTTCTGATTCAGTAATGAATGGCATTTATTACAGGATGATGTGATGATGCCCCAGAGAATAAGGCTGCAATGGGAAGCTAATATTAAGTATCCAAGGAGTGTGAGTATTTTCATTTGCAATGAGTTTTAACATAAAAGCTTGGAAATCTCTGTGATAACATTGAATGTACTGGAATGTAGTTGTTAATGACAGAAGTCCCTATTGCCATTGTCAAGCAAGAAGTACTTTTAAAAAAAAAATTTGATTAATATGCCGCCCTTCTCCGGAGACTCAGGGCGGCTTACAATGTGTTAAGCAATAGCCTTCATACTTTTGTATATTTATACAAAATCAGCTTATTGCCCCCACAACTGGGTCCTCAATTTACCTACCTTAGAAAGGATGGAAGGCTGAGTCAACCTTGAGCCTGGTAAGATTCGAACCTGCAGTAATTGCAGGCAGCTGTGTTAATAAAAGGGTGCTTTAGACCACTGTACTACCAAGGGTCTTCTATTACTTGTAGTAATAGTGTAGAAGTTATACCTGGTGAATACATGACTGAGCTCAGGTTTGAAGTAGGCTATATAGTAAAACTAACTGGAACTTTACCCTACAGTGAACTGGATGCAGAAAAAGAAAGCAGTAGCAGTTCTGATTTAACATTGTTACAGATTATAATAGAGCAACATGTGATAGCTGTAAAAAGTTTTACTGCAGCTTGCCATATATATCTGAGGATTGTAGTGGATTCCTTAAATAACTGGTGGGCTGATGACATTCAACCTGCCAAATTACAGGCTTTTTAATTATAGAATCCTTAAATTAAAGTGGAACACTTATCAGAGTTGCAGTGATAAAAATCCAGATAATGAATTTAGATGAAATTATAACCATTTTGGTTTGGGTAGATTTTATTCTGTATGTGTGTATATTTAATTTTAAAAGGCACTCTGCAAAGTCAGGTTGTGTTTTAGTGCATCTGTAAGCAGCCCTCTTAATATTGTTTATTTTGGATTGGTTTAGGTTGAGAAGATTAGGCATTCTTGTGAAAGGGGCATAAAAGCTAGATAAGGAGAAAATAAAACAAGCCCCTTTTTTTGTAAAAGAATATATTGTGGTCCCATCAGATGAAATTCTCAGATATGTATGGCAGGTTGCAGAGGAGTAAAACTTTTTACAGTTATCCCATGTTGTGAAAGAGAAAGTTTGACAAAATAACTGCCAAAACATGTAGCCACTACAGATGGATTACTTTTAATAAGCAGTATCATAAAAGACCATCTAACACTTACGGTAGTTATTTTACTAATCTCATTCTGTTGCCGTTTTCAGGCAGTTGTTTTAAGTTACAAGTATGAGAAATTGTCTTTTGAATGAGCTTTCTTATAAAAAAGGTGTAGGAATAGATTTGTGATGTGAGAAAATATTTTATTGTGATTAATTCTCAATTTCATTTTCAATTTCATGCATTTACAATATGTTCTGACTAAAAATGTTTGGCACTTGTTTTCCATAAGTGTCCTTTTGAAAAAGAAAGGTAGCAAAGATGGATAATTCTCTCTTTCTTCGAATCTGAATGAAAACAAGAGAAACAAACTGTTAGAGTTTAACTTTTAGGCCTTAATTTCTACCACAACATTGTCATATCTAACTTGGTAGGCATTATAATCAAAGAAATCCAGAGTTGACTATGTTCTAAAATGAGTGTGTATATTTATTTCTTACAAATAAAAGATAGATGCACATGCAGATACATATGAGCTCATATTTTCCCAGGTCTTATTTCACTTGTCTGAACATGTTGCATAGTAGGCAGATGACAGAAAAAGATGGAATTGAACAAATATGTGGCTTGCTCATGACTTGCAGTCATCCACAACTGTGGCAGTTGTTAAATTAGTCTTGTGTATGCTTGACCTGGGTAGACTGCCCTTGTAGTGCATTTGCTTACTTTTAAGAAGTATTTTGTTTGTCTTTGCCCTGTTTGTGATTCTCAGTGCTATCTGCTTTTAGAGAGAAAGGATGGTATGGGAATATATACAATGAAAGTATGTTTCCATCTTGACTTGTTTGGATTGTAAAACAAATAGGCATCCTACAGTCTTCCTATCATTGTTTCTTATCTGGCAAATCCAAAGTGTTGTCAAATGTAGTTTCTTCAATTGGAGGCAACATTACAATGGACTAAAATGCAACTAAAACGTTTTACAGTAAAGCTTTCTGTTTTATGTGCAATGATATATTTTAAGCAAAATCACTTTGCTTTTGATGTCTGTTTCTGTTATCTCCTTTATTTGCCTTGTTCCCATAGTGGATAATGAAGGATGAGTAACTTGCCTGATAGACAAACAGCTATCTTAGTGCTATTAATGAAGTAGAATATGCACCATCAGGAGATGGTTTCATCTTTTGCAGCCTGAGAATGTGAACAAGATGCTTATAGTGATTTTTTCCATTGCATGTTTTCATAGACCACTAAGGAGCGGTCAAGACATCATTATATCACAGAGTGGTTTTCTTTATTAAAGGAAGCATTAGTATAGTAACGGGAAGGGGGATATCCCAAAATTAAAAAAAATGTTATTATGGTGAATATCTTCCTTTGTGAGGTAAATGAGAGGATCACAACAATCCAACCATAGATATTCTGGGAGATACCAATTATCTTAAAAATATCTCACTCTTGTGTCTGGCCTGATTTAATTGCCTTGATAACTCTGATGGATAACCTGTTTGGAGAGAATCTATTACTCTTACCTGGTCACTCAACAAATTCTAATATCAATCCTTTCCAGTTAAATATACTCACTGGGAACATGATCTTAAGTAATTTCATTTCTGTACTCTTAGTAAATCCAGAAAATAACACTTGAGAGCTGCCACCAGATCCTGTATTGTTTTCAATGTTACTTATATAAAGCTAGTAAGCAAACAGGGAAAGTAGTCAGAGATTGGACAAAGAAGTTCTTTGATAGACTTGCAAGATTGATGGTAGCCTTTCGAGGTAGACCAGATTAGGAAACCAAAATAATTTGGCCAATACTAGTTTTATTATAAAGACATAAAGACCTTGCAAGTCTGAATATGCTTCTCTCCTCTTTCACTTTATATTTGTGAGAACTAAGGAGACATTTTATATCTTATCTGAGACATTTTATTTTATTACAGTTATTACAGTTCTTCTCCAACTATCAATAAAACTATCAGTTTTATCTAATTGTTGTCTTCCTCCTGTCCCTCAAGATCATTCTTTCTGTCTATAAAAAAGGCTAAAGTTCAAAGTGACCAGAGGCTTGTAAGAGATTCCAAAAATAGACAAAAAAAGAGTCTTGAGATATTTTAGATATAAAAGGAAATACAAAGAGCATATAGTTCATTGCTAGGAAAAAAAATGATGATTTGATAATGGATAGTGGTGAGGAGGCAGAATATTTTAATTTTTAATCTGCATCTATCTTCTCATGGAACGGAAATGGAGCCTCAGCTTGTCATCATTATGGCACCGGGGTGGGGGGGGGGAGGAGGGGAGGAAACTGTAGTTTGGGGAAGACAAGAAGAAGATAATGTAGCTAATTAATGCACATCCAAGTATCCTAGGATAGATGGATTATCTTCTTAGATATTGAAGAAACTAGTGGAGAGTGACAACAGATCTGCTTTTAATAATCTTTGAGGACTTTTAGAGGGCTGGTGAGGTAGCTGAAGAATGAGGTTTGCAGATTATTTCCTCATTTTCAAAATGGGGAACAAGCAGAAAAAAACTGTAGATTTGTCTGTTTAAAATCTATGTTTTTTTCTCATTTATTTATCAATCATATTTGTATAGTTGCCAATCTTACACGAAAGTGACTCTGGGTGATGTATAGCACTAAAAATACATAAAAACAGACATACTTAAAATGGTCATATTCTTTGAACAGATTATCTAGCAACAGTTGGTTATGCCCACAGCATTAACATGAGCCAAAATGGGATTGTCACAAAAAAGTTTGCAAGACTAAGCTATCTCCTTGTGTTATAAGAGATACTTGAACATGTCGTCTTTGTCAGAGTGCCTCATGTGCATACTTGAATAAAATGGTAAATATGGGGTAGATGATATTATTGTTCAAAGGATACATGATTAGTTGACTGAATAACTATATTCAAAGAGTGTTCATTAATGGGTCCACTTAGCTTGGTGGAAAGTAAAATGTAGAATGCCAAAGGGTCTGTCTTGGCTCTGTGCTGTTCAACATTTTTGTCAGTATGAATGAAGAGGTTAAAGCATACTCAGAAAGTTTGCACTGAGAAGTAATATTTTAGATAAGAGAGAAGATTAAAAAATATCTGGGCTCTATGAGCTGAAATGAATAGAATGGAACTTAACATTGAGAAATGAAACTTCATTGGATAAGAACATCTGATATATTTTATATATCAGAAGACATCAAGCTACGTTCATTAACTGTGTATGTTCAAGGGAAAGAAGATGAAGCAGAATTGAGTACTTCCGAAGGAGTTATTGGCTAACAGGTATAGAAATTTTCCATATTATGCTGCCACATTCTTTCCATCATTAAACTTTTACATAGATTAATGTGCACTATATATATATATATATATATATATATATATATATATATATATATATTAAATAACATAAATCTTCTAGTTTCAATGATTTTAAAAATCATTTTACTTCAGATAAATATTCTTAAAATCTGTTAATTTCAAGGAGTTAGAAAAACAGAAAGACCACCAACTCTATTATGCTTTTATATAATATTCTGCTTTCTCTTCAGAATGATGAGGTTCTGAGAAGGCTATACTAACAACATAAAATAAAGTGGTTTCTAGAAATCAGGAAGCATTACAATCTGAATAGATTTTTCATGCTGAATGTTCAAGATTGCATTAGAATTCAAGAAATGTCTTGTTGCTTTAGTGCGATTCTGGTATGATTCTTTTTACAAAAAAGTGTTCATGTCTAAAACCCTGCTTTGCTGACTGATGAGGTTTGGAAAAGCAGTCCTGTGTGCTTTTTTAAAAAGATCTTGAACTAGAACAGTAGCCATTGTTTTTTTAAAAAATATAATGATATGAATAAAAAGGCTTCACTACCTTTTATCATTAAAAAA